ACTATAGAATCGTATCTCAAAGATAATCCATGATGATGCAACTCAAAAGCGACTACCTCTAGATGTTGAAGCAAGGGCTTTGAGATCTAAATAATAACAATTAGAAAAGAACATGGTATTGCTTAATGATTGAGAAACATCTGAAGAAAGCTTCGTTTTCAAGAGGGTATATAAACAAATATTGGAAATACAATATAGCTAGTGTCCGGTACTTTCCGCACACTAGTTTATTCACAAGAAACTTTCCGATTTAAAATAAAATGAAATGTAGTTTGAACAGGGGGCAGTTGTTCAAACCATGAAAAATGGACCGGTTTGTTAATCTATATATTAATTCGAATAAATTACAAGAACAACGGGAGTTAGCTAGGTTGTCATTTCAAATTAGGGTTAACAGTAATATATAGAGAGAAATCTCGTGAGAGAGATGGGAGAGTTTGTCATGGTTGATAATATTCTTTGTTCTTGCTTGTAAAGAATGCAATGAAGAAAGCAATTTCTATGACCAAGCTTGGTGATCACAGGTGGAGACAACCTGGAAAAATCTTAAAAGACATAGTAAACATAGAAATATATAGATACTCAGTTCAACTCTAAAGTAGGTCAATTGACTGAAAAGAATGACATTAATTTTATGCGTACATGTGTGATGTTAATGAGAGGGGTTGGTCCTACAAATTTTGTACATATATCTACAAGATAGAAAGTCTATCCTTTTCTTTTAACCACAAATATCTTTTATTATTATAAACAATAAAATTCTCCCATTTGAAGTACTTATTATTACTCATATTTAAAACTTAAATTCGATATTATTAAGTTAAAATAATCATAATCAGTTAGTTCACATATTCGTAGAGAATACTATAAAAGTTAATAAAATGGTGTCTTTCTCTTGTTTAGGCTTTGTTTCAAACAAGTTACCTAATATTTTGGTGCCGACCCACTTACAAATAAAGTTATTTACTGCCGTGCCAGCCAACAAACATAGTACTATACTAGCAAAGACTTTAAACTTGCATATGAAAGATGGAAGACATTAGTTCCTTGATTTAATAACGGGGTTGCAATTTAAAAGGGGGTGCAACTTAAGTGTTATCTCTAGAGAGGCCACATGTCACATCAATTTATGTTCCTACTCCCAATTAATTTTCTCAAATTGGTTTTCCCGTTCCACCTGACCTAACTATTACGCTCCTTTACGGAGCTTTTGGAACCTCGAGTTGAATGACACTACACACAAGGAGCCTACTCATGCACTAATGTGGTATGTCCAAAGACAAAGTTATATATTATTATCCATTCATCAATTTCTCTTTTTTGCATTAAATATATTTCTATGTCACTCAAAACTAGTCTGGTTTTCAAGGCACGCCCCACATACTACAGAAACCATGTTGAAAAGATGGCTTAGATGCCATGAACGAACGTGCATAGCCAAGCACGTACCTTTGCGGTGTCAAAAGCTTGAAACAATTCCAATCAGTCGCTTGGTGTATTGAAAAAAAGAAGAATTTCTTTTAATTACTCTATTTAAACTTGAAATCCAATTAAATAGTGCACGAGGTATCATAACTATTATAGGGGACATCTTTGGTTCAACTTAAATGAATAAATAAAAAACCGTTTATTAAGCTCGTCTAAAAAGTTAGAGAAAAATTAACCCTAGATAAGTTAATACTGGTAGACAAATATATGTCTTTCATCATCTGCTAATTTTTTATTTGTGAGAATTATGAACCAGAGTGGAAATTTCCCCACCTAATAGACGTAAAAAGAAACACTAAAAGTTGGCATTATATTTAACATTTTTATCCCGATCACGAGTCTTAATGATAAAAAAACATCACTTAAGAATATAATTAAAGCTAAGATCTTCTAAAGTGCTTGGATATTGTTCGTTGCATCTAGATAGATAATTATTAAATACATCTTACTAATTAAAAGTTTCTTTAGATAAAAACTAAATATATTTTTGACTTTTTTTTATTGAAAACAAATAACATTTTAAATTTGTATTAAAACATGATCTAACGCTTTTTCTGACTTTAAGTCTTCTACCTTCATATGTAACGTTGTTCATTAGATAAAATTTTAAGACAATATCTAACAAGTTTGAGGAACTTTCGTCCTACCCAATCAGTAAAAACATGTAAAATCTCCCTTGAACACCCTTAAGTGTCTATTTAGCAACTTGTGGTCTTTGAGATAACTTCATACACTAAAACATTGTAAGATCCTAATAATTTTAACATTTCAATAAAATTTCCTCCACTTTTTGAGAAAATACATTCATCATGACATTTAAATGCACAAGCATATGCAAAGTTGATCGTTTGACACAATCAATGGAAGCTGATGAGTATATGTTGATTCTTCTCAATTTCTCTGGATGCTTGTTTTCTAATAAAACCATCAAATATGTTGTGATTTTATCAATAAAGATTTAAGCCTCTCGATCAAGATTGAAAAATTATTTTGTAGGGAATTGAGTTTTTTCCAACATAATTAAAAAGTGGATGATGTTTGAATTTACCTTTTCACTATTAAAACCTTTTTGGACCAAAACATTTTAAAAATGGGGGCAATATATCCTAACATTTATATATATATATTTTTTAGAGGGGGGGTGGGGGAAGTCTGCTACCCCATTTAATCAAAAGGAGGCGCCCCTGCTTCTGACTCAATCATCGTGTTTGTAATTTGTTAGCATAATATAAGCGCCATGTCACGTAATTTATGTTTGGTGTAAGATAATCTTTCCAGTTAAAATTTAACATTGCAATGAGTTGTTCATCTTTACTTCAGAATCATGTGAAAATTAAAAGTATGTTTGAATAAACTTTTCCAAAAATACTTTTAAAAGAAAAAATATATATGAAAGAAAAATGAAACAAATTTTTTTATAAGTTAAAATTAATTTATACATAAATTTATTTGTAATTTTTTAGAGAAGTCATATAATAAAGATTTTACAAACTAATTTATGCAAAAACTGATTTTAATTTATAGAAAAAAAACACTTTATTTTTCCTTTCTATTTCTTCTTCTTAGAAGTGTATTTAGAAAATTTTATCCAAACAAGTCCTAAATATAATAATTCAGGGCTTTTATTCACAGATTAACCTAGCTAAGGCAATCTATGACGTATAATCGTATTATTAAATAAATGAATTCATAATATATGTATCATCAGCCAAGAATGGTCATAATACTGCTGTATCATTTCAAATAGTAATAAGTTTATAAGAACTAAATAATCAACAACCAATCAAAGAGTGACACCCAGTCATAGCAATCGAGAGTCGCATAGTAATTAGGTTAGGTTTTGCATAGACTTGGTACAAAGTGGAAAGCAAAAGAAAATAAAGTTGTGCTATGGAATGAAAATTTGTTTTTTATGCCACCAGAGAACGCTTTTGATGCTACTAAAAACAAAATACAAAACAAGAAAAACAAAATTTATGTATTAACTTTAGATTCTGCGAGTGTGACATGATATGCACACTCAATGGGCCTGCCTTTCCGGGACCTATAGCTAGAATTTTTGTAGACATCTTTCTGAGGTTAAGAAAAAAATGCCACATATGAAGCTTGTAGGTTGGTCCCCATGCTCTTACTCTTCCAGAATTTGGTTTGCAATAATGGAGGAATTTCTCATTATGCTAATTAAAAATAAAGGTAAAATATATTTTATATACAACATTTGACTCAAAAAAATATATATATATATATATATATATATATACAGCGACGGATCTTCATAGTGACAGGGAGAGCACGGCTCCCCCAAACTTTTCTAAAT